CTCCCATAATCCCAAAGGAAGCTAAAAGAATCTAAATTAGGTGGAGAGAATCTAGAGGCCAGACTTCCTGTGTGGCTGATCTAAGAAGGCAGTTCTGGATGCACACTGGAAAATGTTCTCAGTTCCACAGCTTGGGAGAGAATCCTTCTAGTCCCTGATCATCAAAACAATAACTTTTTTTTTTAGAGCTCTCTGTTTTGATATATTGGCAAGGGAAAAGTCACTTCATTTCTCAAAAACATTATTTTTCCCTTCCATTTTGGTAAAGAATATATAGTTGACCAAAAAATTTATGTCCCAGCCCAGAAAAAACTACACTGTAGAAAATTACTTTTAAATGTTCATGGAGTTCTGGGGTCATAAATGAAGAATCATTAGACATAGTGTTTTGTTAAACTTATCAGATTATCATATAGTTGTGGCCCAGTGCACAAAATTCATTCAAGGGGCTCAGCCCTCGCAGCCCTGGCTGCCTCAGCCTTCCCAGCCCCAACCTAGTCTGGAAAATCGTCCAGAAGGATCTCAGGAAGGACATCCAGAAGGTCATTAGGCTGCCTGGTCCAATTATCATATTACACTTTTATTATTATAGATAGTGTCTAAAACTTGTTATCCCTGTAAGGACTTTGACCATCATTTTTTCAACAAATTTCTTTGAAATTTTAAAATAAACTCTAAAAAAACATACCCACACCTTTCCATTCACTTTTTTTATTGTTTACACTATTGCAACTGTCCCTACCCCCCCCGCCGCCCCTGTCACTTTGAAGGTGAATCATTTGCTTTTCCATCTGCAGATGTGTCTTATTATGTGCCAGGGGAACCCTAGATGTAAATGCTGAGCAAGATTCTGTTTATTTTGATACCACTTGGGGCCCCCCCCCTCAGCCTTTGCCCACCTCCACCCAGCCTTTGCCCATCCCCCTTCCCTCTGGCCTACTAACTTTTAACACAGTTGGTGCAATTGTTTCTTCCTGAATCTTCTCAAAGTGCTGCTAAGATATGAATAACTTTTACATTTTATAACTTTGTTTGCTTTATTCTTTCAGAGTTTTCTTCATACTTTCCTAAACTTCCTCAATCTTTTCAACTTTTTAAGGGAGAAAAAGATTTTATTTTATTTTATTTTTTATTTTAGTTCACCAGTTGGAGATGTTTTGATTTTCTGGAATGTCACATCTTTAGTGTATTCCTGTATATATTCCATGTACAGCTATATCCTACATATGGGAAACATGACTTTCAATGAAACTAAAAATACGAATTTGCATAGCATTTTGTGAACATGTGCAAATTCTGTTACCCTTTAGTATAATTGGCTGATTTGTTATAGGCTTGAGAGATCAAAATCCAAAAGGAATGTAACTTGTATTCAACTCCACAATTAGAAATGATCCTGGGAATGGACTCCGTCTTCTGAATCCTGATCCAGTGTACTTTTCACTGGGAAATGGACAACTCGCGACATTCATAACCTAGTTCATATTGGCTATTGTCCAGATTGGTGGTCAAAAACAGGCAGTCTATGAAAAACTACTGTTGCCTGCTTTGTTACTAATTTAATACAAGAATTACTGGAATCTGCATGTATTTTCTGATCTATTTGGTAGGGCATGCTATTTCTTAA